TGAGGGGTCTCCCCTGAGCAGAGCAGAGGGGCAGAATCCCCCCTCTTGCCCTGCTGGCCACGCTGCTGGGGGTGCAGCCCAGGATTTGGTTGGCCTTCACAGAATTAGTGGGTCTCCATTATCACATGGGAGCAAGGCTGAGACAGTGAGGAGGAAAAAGATGTGTTTGGACTTACTTTTGCCAGCCTTGGGAGATGCTCAGTGTATGAGCAGGGGCCGGGTGGGGGGAGGTGATGGTCCAGACCCTCCAGGCTGCGCAGTGCTGAGCTGCCCTCAAATTCCCCCAGACACCCGATCAGGCTGGGCAGGCAGGATCATGGTTTCTAAAGGGTCCGATTTCCCAAACTTAAGTGCTAATAAATGCACAGGAACATGCAATGGGGCAGCACCCAGACACAGAGCTATCCATCGCTGGGGGCACCCAGCTCCTGCTCAGTGAAAATCATTCTTAGGATCCAGGCTCTGAAAACGGGGTGAGAAAGAGAGCTTGCTGCGAACACATTGCAGTCCCACTGCCGTGCTTGAAAGAAGTCTGGTCATCCATCCCCATCGTGCATCAGGCAATGGAAGCAGCCGAGAAGAAAAACCAAAAATCCACAGAACCAGGGACATAGGGAAGATGCCAACTCCAACCTAGCGATTGGTTGGGCTGTTCTCTGACAGACAGCGATTGCTGAAGACGTGGGCAGGAAATCTTTCTTTTCACCTTTTCTTTGCAGTTCTGGTGCTCAGTGTGGCGCATTGGACTTTAAAACCTTCCCATCCCAAAGGGAGTTTTAACAGCCAGGATCTGCAGGAAGACATCATCATTTTCTCCTGATGATGCTGTTCCCATCCCTGCAGCACGACAGCAAACAGCTCTGTTGAGTAATGACTAGAGCATGCCCAGGGATATCAAACAACCAACCGATGAATAGTTAAATAGCATCAGGAGGAGCAAAGCTGGAACATGTTGGATGCAGAATCTCCTGGGAAGGGGAGTTAATTCCGTGCTGAGTTTCCCACACCTGATAATGCTGCATCCTGCGAGTGGCTGGGTGTTTCCTTCCTGGTCTTTGCATCCCTTGCTTTGTTCCGGTTAAAATGGGCACAACAGAAGTAAAATGTCTTATTTTCATTATCATAAGTAGCTAAATTGATTCTGAACTGAATATTGGGTGTGTGTGGCAGGGGAGGAGCGGGAGGAATCAAAGCTATTTTTTATTGGTTTGGATGGAAATCACTTTCTTATTTTCTTCTTCCAGTGCCTGGGAATTGTTGCCATAAGTTTTAAAGAGCAATATACAATGGAGATATCCTCACGAGTGCCCTCCAGCTCTGAAATCCCCTGGGGCAGAGTTTTAACACAGGCTGCAGGGAACAGTGATGATGACTTAGTGTGAGAGGGGGGATGCTGCCCTGGGGGGATGCAGAGTGGAGCAAAGCATGAGCCCGGAGCCCCTGCCTTCTTCCCCCTCAGGAGTCCCCCAGGCTCATGGCATGTTTTGCATTGAAGAATTGGTGGTGTGTCACCAAAACCAGACACCTGTCATTGGCTGCTGACAGGGCAATGCATTTACAGACCCTTTCTGGAAATCCCATGTGTGTCCTCAAATTGGCCACCGGCCATCAAGCCTCAGGCAGCAGAGATCCTACAAGCCCCAAATATTTTCTTAAACTATGCTGGAGCACACACCATTAGTAGCAGACAGGCCTATGCCATCTGCTTCTTTTTTTTACATGATAAAAACTTGCTCAAAACAGTCAAATGCTGCCTCTTGTCCTGGGTGCGTCAACCCCTGCCATACCCTGGGGCATAGCTGCCGGCCCGGGATGCTCATGCCAGAAGTTCCCCTTCCCACCCTCTTAGTGGGACCTGGCCCTTAGGATGTCTGTAAGCACCCTCAGGGGAGCCACCCCAGAATACTCTGCTTGGGACCCTGGTGAGGGTGTGGGTGCTTGCAAAGCCAAACCAGGCACGTCCACAGGCAACTCGATTTATGCTTCATGCTGCTGAGCTCCAGCAGAAGAGCTAAAGTTACTGAGAGGACTGGGAGAGTCCTGATGCCCCAGTGTGTCTGCTGGGCACCCCGAGGCATTTGGACCAAGGGATGGCTTTGAAAGCGTGACTCTTGCTGGTGCTGGCAAGGCGGGGGGGGCAGGCCAGTGGGTGCCTGGGGAGCGTTGGTGGGTGTAGAACTCACCTCTTGTTATTAATTTGCTGGTTCTCGTCTTTGCACCAGGTTTCAGATTCAAGAGTTTTTTGTTTGTCTGTTTTGTTTCATTGTGGTGCTGTGACAGCCACACTGGGGTTTACTTGGGGTGATGCCTCTGGCTTGTCCCCTCCAGTGTCCCAGTGCCACAGGTGCAGGGGCTCAGCCCATCCACCTGAGCTGGTGCAGCTCTGTGTGCACGCAAACACCTTCCTTTTTTGCCAAGCTTTCCAAAGAGCTATTTGGGTTCTGCTGTTGTACAAAAGAGGGGCTGAGGCCCCACTGTCAGATCTCCTGGCAGTTGTTCCTGCCAGTTTCACACAGGGTTTGGAGGGGGCTCTGGGCAGCAGATTGGGGCTCTCCTCACTTCCTGGGGCCACCAAATGCGGCTGGGTTGGGATGTGCAATTTTTTGATCTAATGATGCTCTGGGAGAACCCCTGGCTCCAAAGCACCTGTGGTTCAATGTGCTTCTGCTGCTGAGTCTGAGCTCCATGTCGAGGCATGTGCCAGCCCTGTGTCACCTGCTGGACCACAGCCCCAGCCTGTCCCCCAGCGCTTCTGGCCTCAAAAAGCCCTGTCCTGCCATGTGCAGACCCCGCAGCCCCCTGGCATGTGCTGAGCTTGGACCCCATCACTGCCTTTGACACAGCCCCTCCAGAGCGCAGCATCAGCAGCAGCCCTTCTTGCCAGCTTCTGGGTGAGGGTTTGCTGGGAGAACTGGGAACACTGGGTTGACCATCATGTTGGGAGCTGCTGCAGAGCTGCAGGCTGGCACAGCATGGCCGGCTGGAGGGCAGCCAAGGCCTGCTTTGGGGAGCAGCAGCATGTTGTGACCTAAAGGATGCAGTGGTGAGGCCCCACCTCGAGGGCTCACCACAAAACAGACACTGAGGGGCTGGAGCATGGACAGAGGGGTCTGGAGCACAAGTCTTGTGAGGAGCAGCTGAGGGAGCTGGGGGTGTTCAGCCTGGAGAAAAGGAGGCTGAGGGGAGACCTTCTCGCTCTCTCCAACTCCCCGAAAGGAGGGTGTAGCCAGGGGGGGTTGGTCTCTTCTCCCAAAGAACAGGCCATGGGACAAGAGGAAATGGCCTCAATTTGTGCCAGGGGAGGTTCAGGTTGGAGATTAGGATTAACGTCTTCCCCAAAAGGGTTGTGAAGCCTTGGAAGAGGCTGCCCAGGCAGTGGTGGAGTCGCCATCCCTGGAGGGGTTTAAAAGCCGGGCAGAGGTGGTGCTGAGGGACATGAGTCGGTGGTGGTTTGTGTCAGCTGGTGGTTGGACTCGATGATCTCAAAGGTCCCGTCCAACCAGCCCGTCCTCTGGGTCCGGGTGGGTGCCCCTGGCCGCGTGCGGTGCCATTTCTCTCGCTGCCGCTGGAGGGAGCTCCCGCACCCGCCACCGGCCTCCCGGGGGTGACCGCAGGCTGTAGGTCGGTGACAATGAAGGCCTTGGAGGATTCCAGGGGGATTTCAGATGAAAACAAAGACCTAGGACTGGCTTCTTCTGAGGGACTTGGAAGGGCCCCCATGGGACCTATGGTCTGGGAGCATGGGGTGGTATTGACATTGATGGGACGCGGAGACTTTCACAGCAGAACAGGGCAAAACCAAGGCACAGAAGAAAGCAGCAGCTGTAACTCCCGGGCTCAGCAAGATTTGGGGCATTGAGCCTTCCCCCAGCTAGCGTTTGGTACTGGCTGGCACTGGCCTCTGCAGCGGCTGGAGATGAAATACACCGCTGGGGAGCAAAGCCCAGATCTGCCAAAAACACCCGGCAATGAATAAATACAGCGCGGCTCCTTCGCTGGTTTCTATTCAACGCATAAACCCACCCTAGCATCCAGATGAAAACATGGCACTCCAGTATCTGCTGGTGCACCCAGGGACTAAACAAGCTTTAAATTAAGCAAATGAAACATTAAAAATGTATTTGAGTGCAAGAGGGAGCAGCTAGATAGCACAAAGCCATCTATAATTAGCTGCTTGTGCAATTGACCTTGGGGCTGTAATCAACCCCAGGGTTTTCCCCAGGGAAGGAGGACAGACACAGGAGCTGGGGCCACACTTAGGTACATCAGGTATTTATACAGCTGCCCTCAGGGACTGCCATATTTATTCTTGTCTCTGCCTTCTGCAATAAGCAATCTTTGTTCCCCTTCCTTGACCAGCTAAAGCAGCACTTATTTTCTTCAGCTCCAGTATCAGGCCACGTGCCTGGGATCACAGGCACAGCTGGAGTTTACCCCCCACCATCTCCAAGGCTCCTGCTCCATCCCCAGCTCATTTCATTCCCACATACTGGGGTATTCATTATTCCCTAGATGTCACAACAAATGCTTCTGGAGATGACTGTGCTGCTACTTACTGGGGCTTGTCCTGATCAGCTCTGATTTTAATCTGTCTGGATAATTCAGACCTCAGCCTCTGCTCTTGGTCAAGGAGTTGGCACAGGGTTTTCCAGACAGCTACAAGGAATATCTCCCCAGTGCAAGGGTCTGCCAAAAGGGAATAAGAAAGGCCAGCTCATCACTTGTAAACTTGCTGCCCCAGGGTCTGATTTCCAGAGGGAACAGAAATTCTGAAGTCCATAAACTTCAAGCAGACTAAAAACTACTTCTGGAGTGTATAGCAGGGATTTATCCCGGAGCTCCATAAGGCTGCAGCTAGAAAATCTAGGCCAGAAGGAAGCATAATGCTCGGGTCAAACTCCCAATAAGTGAAGTTTCAAAATCCAAAGTACTCACATAGCTCCCGTAGTTCCCACATCTTCTACTGGTAAGCCACTGGGCAAATAATCCAGGCAGGACAGTTACAGGTTTGTTTTTATTAAAAGGCATCTTCAGAAAAGATATTTTAGTACAAAAAAAAGTTTAAAATACACAAACTACAGTTGTTTTTTTTTCCAGTATCAACATTTATAAATTACACCACATTAACACTGCATTTAAATATGGAAACAAATTAAAATGGGAAATTCATCAACAAGATCCAACATCCTACAAATGACTATTTACAGTATTTAGCAGCTAGGAGCTCTAGCACAGTAGTCAATATGACCTCAATAGGGCAGGATGCTTGGGAAGCCCCAAGACGGCAGCTTGGCCCCTAATAGTTTTTTGGGGACTTGTTTTGCCCACCTCTCCCCGGACTCCCAAGGCAGAGGCAATGCTGTACCTCAGGGTACATGCCCAACAAGGTGGTGCAGCTCTTGCAGAGAAACCTTGTTGTCCCCCAGCCAGTTTTGGGGCATGCACATGGGATGGTGCTATTCACTCTGCAAAGTATGGGGAGTCTTTGGGGAGAAGGCAGCCCTCCAGGGTGATGTAGAGCTGACAGCAGGGCTGGTCCTGCCCAGGGACAGTCACTGCTCTGTACCTGTGCTGTCCCAGTGCTCATCCTGACCACTCCCAGCAGCACTAGTAGGCTTCAGGCAGACCTTAAGACTCAACCCTCCAGGGCTGCGGGAACCCACCCATCATCTCCTGGAGCTGGAAGTGCTTTCCCCAGCTCCCAGCAAACCCCAGCACAGCCAGAAACACAGGACTTCAAAGCCATAGGGGCCAGGGAAGCCAAGTGAGCCTGAAGTCTCCTTCTGCACAGGGTGTCCTTCAGCCTTCCCACCAACAGTCATACTCTCAGCAAGCTGAAGTCACCAGAGCAGCGGCTGCACAGATGGAGCTGCCTAAGGCTCACTGCCCCCCAGCACCAGCGGGGGAAGGAGGCTCTGGGGGCTTTCACAGAAGGGTACATGGGAAACAGTGAGAGACAGTGAGGCTCCGTACCCAACATCCGGGTGCAGGTTAGTGAAACATTTCACATGCTCCCCTTTCCCCCAGCCCCAGCTCATGAAAACCAGCACAGAAGTGTTCAAACAGGACAGAAAGCACTACACAACTTGAACTTGCCACAGCAGCACATGGCAGGTTGGAAGACCTTTGTACATGCTCTAGAGGTGGATCTCCCTGCTGGTGGCTCCTCTTCTGGTTTAGGAGCTTCCATCCAGGGGTTTCAGCAACATGGAGCTGTTTTATTTAAGAGTGAGGAGCTGTGTCCCGCCACTAAAGGGCTGCTAACCAAGAGAAATGCTCCTCCAGGGACTTCCTGGGGAGGGTGGGTTTGTTTTCTGTAAACACCAAATGATGGAGCTCAGGTCTGTGCTCCACAGAGAAGATCAAGTCTCACATGGCAGCTTTAGGGCTCTGCTTCCAGTGCTGCAGGTTGGATTTTCATGGTGGTTGACTTCAGTGGGTAATACCTGCCTTTCCATGTCTTCCAGAAGATGCCCTGCTTGCGCTCATGCCTCTGGCGGGGAATGGAGCGGAAGTACTTCCCATTGAGGTTGGCATGGCCACAGGTGCTGAACCACCAGCCACCTACCAAGGCAAAGCAGAGGCAGGTTTAACCAACAGCACTTTCAGAAAGAAAACAAACCCAGGATCAAGGTGGCTGCTGCCCGTTTTCCCCAATTTTCCAGGTCTACAAGACCACCTTGTACACCCATGTACTGGGAAGCCTTCACACAGATCCTATATGACTTCAGGATGCATCTGCAAATCCCTGATGCTCTCTCACATGCAAAACCCCCTCAAACCCTCCAGCAGCCCCATCTCAGGCCTGGGGAGTGGCCTCTGCCTCGCTTGAAAGGTTTCCAAGCAAGGTGGGAGCCAGCAAAGCTGTTACGAAGACAGATGCTTGGGCCAAGACCTGAATCATGAACCCCTCCCGATTTCAGCATCCCTCCCAGTTCCCTGCATGGCTCCTCCCAAGGATGCAGCTTTCCAGGGAAGCAGAGGACAAACCAGGCTCAACACCAAAGGGCTCTGGTCCCACAGAGTCACTGTCCCACTCACGGCCACCACCAGGGAGCTGAAGGGAAAGAACACATCACTGGGAAGTAAGAGCTTGTACTGACCTGAGAGGTGTTTGGCACAGTTTGTGTCAGCTTTGAGATCGTGGTCACGATCCCGAGTGGAGAAGGGCAGCTGCCTGAAGTCCCCGATTGCATTTTCCAGCTCTCCAGACAGAGGTCCCAGCAAGTTGAGCGTGTAGGCTGTGCTCTCACCACCAAGGCTGAAGACAAACTGAACTACTTGAGAATTTCCCTCCCAGTCTTCCAGCTCAATCAGAAGATCGTATCTTCCTTCTTGGACAAGGTGATGTACCTTCTCCAAGCCCAGCCAGAAATCACCTAAAACATGACACATTGTATTTGCCACAGGGACACAAACATGCTGTGCAAAGCAGAAACAAACAGGCTTGAGACAAAAAGGGACAACCCAGGACACTGTGGCATTTGAATCATGGTCTGGCACATGCAGGACAACTCAGGAAGACCAAGGACTCTTGCTCTGTAAGCAATGTCATCCCCTCCTCAGCTCAAAACTGTGCTCCAGCACAGATACCTCCAGGGGCCATCAAGGGAGAACAATGTGCTAAGAGATCATTTATTCCAGGATAAGAAGATAGACACCATCATCCACCTACCACCCAGGTCTCCAAAGCCATTCTTGTAGGCATCCCAAAGCTGGTCAAAGTCCACAGAGCCATCTGTGCGCCTCTGGATCACTGTCCAGCCACCTTCTGCAGGCAGAGAAAATACAGTCATTTGGGATTACTATTCGCAAGACCAGCATGCGAAGCACTGCAGGACAACTCCACCACCTTACCTGTGGTCATGTCACAGTAGACTTTGAAAGGCTGAGACCCTGCAGGCTGCACCTGGAAAACACCGCTGCTTTGCTGCCCGGCCAGGAAGAGCTGGTGGCAATCTTCTGGGAGCTCTGCAGAGGAAGGAAACAACAATTGAGAAGATAGTCCCAAGTCCCTCTTCCTCAGCAGGTTGCTCCTACCACAGCCCCAGCACTTGCAGCCCTGGCCATGAGCCCAGCCAGCTGTGCACAGCAGTGGCTACGGCTCTGGACACGCGCTGGAGACAATGACCCCTGACTCATGTCTTTAAATGCTGTGACCCTGTATCTTCCCATTTGTCCAAACACAGCTCCTTGGGCTTCTGTCCAAGGCAGAAGACAGGCATCAGGCCAGGCTGGGGTGACCTAGGCTGGAGATCACAGCTCCTTGGTGAGGAGAGACCCAAGGATCTTCCCAGTTCCCTCCACGCTGGGCAGGAGCAACCTGGTTGAGGTGGGGTAGAGCCAGGTCCAAGCATCCCCATCCCACCCCAAGGCTGAAGCAGCCTCGAAGGGCCTCAAGGACTGGTGTTAGGAAGGTGCCTGCGCTTCCAGCACGCAACCTCTTGCTCTTGGTGACCCCAGCCAGGTATTCTGCTGTGCAACCTGCCACCAGCAGGCACGGGGCCAGGCTGGGGTGACCCCTTGGCCCAAGACACACCGACCTGGGTAGGGAAGGGGTGGGTGGACCACAGGGAGGCCCCAGCTCATTGCATGAGTGGATTGCTTGGGGTGAGGTCATCCCCACGCCGGCCAGGCTCCCACCTCTCCTTCCGCCCCTGTGGGGACTTTGCCCGGTGCTGCCAGCAAAGCACCGTTTCAACAGCGCTGATAAAAGTCCATCCAGGAACCACCACCCGCAGCACTCGGGGAGAGATGGCGGGGGGGGGGGGGGGGGGCGGGTACAAAAACCCCACGAAGGGGAGTGGGGCTCCGTCTGCACCTATGATTTCGACTGGGACTCCCAGTGGGCCACCGTGGTGTGTCGGCAACTGGGCTGTGGCTCCGTGGCCAGGGCGTCCGTCTTC